TCTCTCCGCCCCCCCCCCCCCCCCTGTGTGGGCCTGGGGGGGGGGGGGGGTTGCTACTGAGCGTTTAGCCACCAAATCTGTACAAGCTGTGATCCTGGTGCTTCAGCACATTGACTACATCCATGGTGATCACAGTCTTGGCATGCTTGGTATAGGTGACAGCGTCATGGATCACATTCTCCAGAAGGACCTTCAGCATCCCCTGGGTTTCCTTGTAGATGAGGCAGGAGATGCACTTTAAGCCACCATGGCGAGCCAGGCTGGCCTGGTGATGCCCTGGATATTGTTATGGAGAACTTTGTGGGAGGGAACACTTGGTCCCTCCTTTTCCCAACCCCTGGTCCTCTTTGCTAGAGCCAGATGTGGTCAAATATATGCAGGCCACAGAGTGTCGGAGACTGGGCAGGATGGACCCACTATATGGCAGTTCTGTTCTTATTCTTACGTGGTCTGTGCTTTGCCACAGAAGAATTGCTGTCTTATTATTTTTCTGTATTTTTTTCACATGAGTGAAAACTTGAAGCTTGGCATTTTCTGAGGGGGTCTTGAGCTTAGAAAGATCTTCCCCTTTCCTCAAAGCACTAACTAACACATGGGTAGTTATTAATAAAGGTTTGCAATGTTTGACTTACATACCAGGCTTGAACCCTGCCCTGCTGTTTGCATTCAGATTTGATTTCACAGCTCAGTGTTGTTTCAACCATGAGCCAAACAAGAATGCTGTCATCATTCTGAGCAAGCCTGGATTCTGTTTCACCTCCCCAAGTTTGAAAGCTTTTAAACCAACGGGAATATGAAGCTTTTAACTGCAGTATGCTATGACTCACCTGAACTTGTTATCGAATGGACATTTTTCAACACTATCTGAAAATATGTTTAAAATAAGCTCCACACATTTACAGTGATGGAATAAGAAACAAGATAACTGAACACAAGAAGAAGCAGGACACACATTTTGATCAGGTGTGGAATTTGGACCTACTCTTTGGTTTATGTAAATTGGTTTGGCTTCATTAAAGGCAACATTGTACATCTGCCTATGCCCTTCTACAACAGTTGACCACCTATCCCATTTAAGTTTGAGTCTGAAATTCTGTATCAAGCCCCCACCCAAATATGGCGAGTGTGAAATAATATATTTGAAAGATCTGAAATCTGTTCATTATCCACTGTTGTGACTTTATAATGGGAGATCCATCAATAGTAAGATTCATGAGATTCAACATTCAGACTTTTCACTGCTTCAGATGTCACCACTGCTTCAAATGCCTACCACAAAAATGTGCGAAGGATTTTCACAAGAAGGAATTCAATGAGTATTTTACCATTTTTTTTGTATAGGATATATTTCTATTAATGCACAGTGCCAAATCTATTTTGAGTTATTTAAAATTTTAACCATGAAAGATGTGGACAATAGAAATGCAGAGGTAAGGGGAAGCAGTGACAAATAAGTAGGGCTTAATACAATTCTTTATAAAACATTGATGCACATACACTGAAATGTCTCTTTTAATGATAATAGTTGATAAACACAGCAACTAGTCCCAAACCTAAAACAGATATATTAATAGAGAGGTACTTGCTAAGAAATTCTGGAAACCACAGAGATTGTGCCAATACATACTTTGATATGAGGATTCATCCTTTAGCTTTTGATAGTTTATTACTTAAAATTATTCTTTTATTACAGCCCTGTCTAGTGAGGATAAAATATCAGTGTGCACTTTAATGTGCAGTAGCTTATTTTACTGTGCATTAAAGTGTGGTGTAAAAACCCATGCAAATATGCTACTGTGCAGTAAAATAGGCTATTGCGCATTAAGCATCACTAAAAAAGTGTGCACTTTCACTACTGTGCATTAGGGCGACCTAATGCGCATTTATTTAGTACCTCACATTGGAGGTACTAAATTTAATGCACACTAGGAAAAGCGCATTAATGCACATGTAGATGTTCCCAGTGAGTTTTAATTAATATGTAATCTTATATATTCCCCAGAATTACTTTTACATATTTAATATAATTATCACTTACTCAATTACTTTATCCTATACAAAAATAGGTGCATCTCTATAGGTGCCTGAACACTTACCTTTAAAATATTCAGAATTCAGTGAACTGGAAATGTGATTAATATGAGCACCTTTCAGATTTCATAACCTTCTGTTCAGTGACTTTCTGTTTAGTAAGCTTAATGTCACATTCTGCTGTATGGGATATTTTTCAAGCAAATCAGGTGATATACTGAATAAAATACTACTCCCCCATTCATAAAGAATCCATTGGTATGAATCTATTCCAGTGCACATTCTAAATGTAATTCAATGTGACTATGGAAAAGAAATTATACATAATTCAAAAATAGCCTCATAATAAAAATGTGAATCTAAAATGTGGATGTTTCTAGTTCATCTTTTACAGGACAAAATAATCTTTGTTTCTTTTTCTAAAGGTTGATCCCAGATTCTTCAGCTTTCATTTAAATGATATAAAACTTTCCAGGAAAGAAAATGTGACTTTAATATCAGGCTCCATCCTACAAATATTTAAGTCCATACTTAATTTTTAAGCATGTAAGTGGGCCCATTGAAAACCACAGAACTGCATCTGAGTAAAATGAAGTTTGTGTGTATATGTTTGCAGGGCCTGAGTAGGTACTTTAGCCCAGAGAGAAAGGCATTATGCTGAAAAGCATGTAAATCACTATAGGCAACATTTTTAAAGTTCTTGGTAAGAAATAAGTGTTCCCACTAAGAGTCAAAGCAGAATTCTGGCAGTTAGGTTTTGGGGTTGTATTCCAGCATTTGTTATTATCCTAGCAAGTCACATTGTAGGGTGTAACTGGGGCAGCAGCACCAGGCATTGAATTTAGGGAAGTGTGTGCACAAATAGTCACCCACCAGCAACACAGCAGCTGGAGCTACTCCATGCACTGCTGCTGCCTGGACATCCATGTTTCAGTCAAGTGTAACTTGGGTGCACCCAAATATGTGCTCCCCTCTACAAATAGAAGGGATGGGTGGCCAAGCAGGAGTGCAGTGAGAGGGATCTGCAATACAGGCCCATTCCCTTTGTTCTTTATAGAGTCAGGTCAGGCCAGGACAAAAATAGCTTAACTAGATACAGGTTTATTAATACAGACAAACACACACACACACACCCCTATAACCCAGAAGTGATATTAATAAATATATACAATATATACTTTACATATAAGGCTATATTCTATTATTGGCAACTAGGAAATTATACCACCATCAATGGCCTCAAACCCACCACAGGTCTGATCTGAAATAGGTAAGCACAGGTAAGTCCAAATGCCCAACAAGTAAATATAGATGAACAGCAAATAAATACTGGCAAACCAGTGTGTGTGTGTGTGTGTGTGTGTGTGTGTGTGTGTGTGTATCTGTGTGTGTGTGTGTGTGTGTGTGTGTGTGTGTGTGTGTGTGTGTGTGTGTGTGTGTGTGTGTATCATTATGAATATTATATTCAGCTTATATGCTGAAAGACCTTTCTTTGCCTGTAGTCATCAAACAGAGTTTATAATCCTGAAACCCAAAGAGAACAAGAAACTAGGGCTGTGCGAGACTTCAGATT